ATGAAATGGGAAATATATGAATAAATTAGGCTTTAAGTTGATACCTATTTTGGGCACTTTTGACTTGGTTGAAAAAATGATTCTCTACTGCTCGCGTGTAGGAAACCCGGTATGCCTCGAGGGTATTTTTGTCCTCTTTTGTCCAAAAGTCCACGTGTCGCCTAGTGAATATTTTTGGCTCCACAATAGCCATCCTAATCCTTGTATTCCTTACCTTCCTGTGGTCTCTCCTCTGCATCCTAATCAATGCCTTCTCAAGGCAAAGCCGAAAACTACCTCCTGGCCCTAGGGCACTACCAATCATTGGCAATCTTCAAGTTTTATTGTTTTTTACTCTCTTGATCATCAAGTTTTATTGCTATTCACTCTCAAGGTAAAGCCGAAAACTACCTCCTAGCCCTAGGGCACTAACAATTTTTTACTCTCCTCACTCTATAATAATTCAACAACGCCAAGTGATTCTCTTGTGTCCTTTCTAAAATCAACAAACACTAGCGAATCAAATTTTAGAATAACCTAGTTTAACAATAAATTATTGAAAAAAGAAAATTTAAATTCAAAGTTATGGTTACCTCAAATTACAATCTTCAGGACCAAGTGATAGTTGCTTAAACATTCAATAGAAATAGAAAGACTGGAAAGTTGAAAGAAAAATGATTACAAAATTATGATTATTTTGGTTTTTGTTATTTTTTTAGGTTATTTTCAAAAGCAAAAGAAAAAAAATGCATTTGGACAGATTGAGGCCATTAATTTCACTAGCTTCTTGTCACACACGTGGGTGTGTGACAATTGACCTTCGTATGTTTTTTATTTAAGAAACTCAAGTTTTTTCTATTTATACAATTTTTATTTAAAATATTTTTCAAAATAAATAAGAATTTAAACATAAACCACCCACTAACATGAGGTTTTGTTATTTTTTTTTTCTAAAGTTGAAAATTTTAAATTCATTCACAATTAATATTTATTGAATTATTTTAACTCCTTTTGATTCTTGTAATTTTAACAATCATATGTATTCATCAAGAACTGAATTTCTTTTGTTTATCAATCACGGCCTCATCGCCACCTCTCCAAGAAATAAAAATGTTCTTTTTTTCTTTTCTGTTTTGCAATTGAATTTTTTTAACATACAATTTTGATGATTTTTAACAAAAGGTAAAGGTTGTGATTATCAGATGATGGATGACTACCCGTCGTATCATATGATGCTCCACACTCCTTTAAAGTTGCATTTTAAGAAAAACCCGGTACCTTAATAACTCCATAAGATAACTCATTAGAAACAATGTCACCTACATTTTATTCTTCTTTTTTATATGAAATAAATTGCAATATTGGGTTTCTTATTGAAAAAACTTATATGTACATAAAAACAAAATCATTTATATTGACAAAATACATGTAAGTATTGTAATCATATCTCATATTTACACTAAAGTCTATCAATGTTACGTAGGTGCAATATAAGATATTTACCCAAGTTTCATCGAAAATGTTACGCACATGCTTTAATTAGTTTTGGCAAAATTCTATGAAAATTTTACAAAACCACTTTTTTCACAGAAATTTTTTTCCACACCACAAGCTTGTTAAAATTCTTGTTAAACAATGTAAAGAAGTTTGGAAACGATACTAATTAAGGTTTCTTTACTGGCTTTACAAATTGCATTTTTCACCAAAATTGTTGCTCACGTTTTTTAATCGGTTTTTCTAAATAAAAAAACAACAATTCATTTTAGAACTAAACCGATCTGTTTACACATGTGTATGTGTAAACTCCATATAGTCAGCACACAGACATTGTTTCATATGTTATCTTGAACTAGCATCTTGTCACAAGCGTACGCATGTGACAATTGGCATTTATATGCTAAATTAAAGTTTTATTATGATTTTTTACAAAATAAATTAAGAAACTCAATTTTTTTATATTTATATATTTTTATTAATAATATTTTTGAAAATAAATTAGAAGTTAAATGTGACAGCCCGTCCCGAATGTATATTATTTTATCCTTGATAGCGTGGAAATTCCTTTTATACCCTTGAGCGTTGTGTGATGTCGTGTGGTTTGAGTTTTGGATGTGGACCAAATAGGTTAAGTTCTAATTGTTTGGACCCAATTAGAACTAAGTTTTCTTTGTTTTTGATTGGTGACAAGCTAGACCACACCCTCACACACACACACCACTCACGTGTACCCTCTCTCGGATTTTCTCGCCATTTCTGTACAACCTGTATGGACAACCCTCAAAACCCTTTCAAACATCACGGATCGAGGTTGTGATTGGTGTTTTTGGACTCCTTGCAAGCTTAGGAGTCGAATGGTGGTGGTGGTTGGACGTGAAAACCTCGAAAACCCAAGAACCCAGAATCTTAGATTGTGAGTACTGTTTATGCAGTCTTGATTGTGGCATTTTCTTCGAGTTTTAAGGTTCTAGGGAGTTTTAGGACATCTTCACGAAGCTTGGGGAAGAAAGTTGGAGTGTTTTGGACCTCGGGAAGCTTAGTTTGGCGAGTTTCAAATTTTGGCCGGATTATCGAGGTTTCTCCGGCGAAATTCCGTGGATCGTAGGGCTTAAAATTGGTAAAGTTTTGTTCTACTCATTGTAAGCTTCATTTTGGTACAAATTTCATGAATTTTGGTTGAGAAATGAAGAAGATATTGAAGTTCTAAGATTTTTCCAGTTTCCGACGATCGCAGCGGCACCGGCGCCAGACTCCGGCAAACCAAGGAAGAAGGAGGAGAATATTTCGTCAAAGTTGACGGAATATTCTAACACCGTCAAGTAATTCTAACGGTATATGCTGTTTTTAACGAAATATTCCCTAACGCCGTTAGGGAATCCGTTTGGTGTGCCAGGCACGTGCCTGCTCGTGAGCAGCGCGTCTGGCCGGCGTGTGAAGGCGCGTGGGTGCTCGAAATTTTTTTCTAAAAATATAGGGATGTTCCTGAGGTTGAGTAGGTCATGGTGGTATATTCAAATACCCTATTTGAGCAATGTATAAGAAGTTATTTCCTAGTTTTGTGTATGTGCTTTAAATAACGTTTATTTAGTTATTTCGCATATAGGTGAGACCTATCCGAAGGACGAGTGCCATCAATCGAGGCTCGGGGGCTACGACCCTTCGACATACCAGTGAGTGGGCTTTTGGTTTTTTTCCGTATATACCTATATACTTGAGATTTTCCAGAAAATGAATTTGAATGATTATACGTTTTGAAATGCCATGCAAAGTATCTGCCTATTTTATTTATGCATTAGTAGTTGCATATGTTTATGATTGGTGCTGCGGACGCACAGGTAAGTGCCAGGTAAGTTCATAAATTAAAGATATGAGATTACTTCAGTTATGCGAGATATGATGTGTTATATTGAGAGCTCATAAACCTGCACCCCGGTGTTAGTGCTCCCGCCCAGAGTTAGGGCACAGTCCTTCACGTGATGTTCACCTCATGCACCATATGCTCACCTTGGATCCAAGTTAGGTGCACAAGCTTGTCGTACAGACCACTTTAGGTGGTTCCGACTTGTAGGTGACCCGCGATCATTTGCACAGTCTTCACGTGATCGTAGCACTAAAGCATATTTATTTTACATCCAGTCTTGTCATACAGACCACTTTAGGTGGTTCTGACTCGTGTGCAGGATTTGATATGGTTGAGATTGGTTATGAGCTATAGACTCAGCCGTGCAGATCAACTTAGGGGGATTTGGCTGATATGATATCTGGCATTGATATATTTTAACTGGATTACTTATAGCATTTCATTGAAATACTTTGGCATGGTATATTTCTATGGATTTCCATCCTAAGCATGATTTCTGATATAGCATTATTATATTTTTGGGAAATTATATAGGTTTTATGGCGAGGGGTTAGAACTTTGAGAAATGAAATGATTTTGAAAATCTTTGTTTTTGCCCACTCACACTTTCTGTTTTGCGTCCCTCCAGGTTTTAGGTAGAAGTGCTTTGGTGGCTCTCGGGGATTTCGACGGTGGTTCTGACAGAACATCATAAATGTAGGATCACCTTTAGGTGTTGTATAATTAATACTTGTCCAGTTGGACTGCACTTGGTCTATTTATGCTCTAATTGTGTATTTCACTCTTAATCTCGCACTAGCACCATATCTTAGCTAGTACTTTTAGTAGTTTGGTTTTTTATTCACTCGTATTTCTCTATATCATTATTGCTTCCGCACTGTGCACATGGTTACGTCACTCTCACGTGACGGCTAGCACGCCCTGATTTTGGTCGGGGTGTGTCATTAAACATAAACCACCCACTAATGTGGGGTTTTGTTATTTTTTTTCTTTTTAAAGTTTAAAATTTTAAATTCATTCAAAATTAATATTTGTTGAATTATTTTAACTCCTTTTAATTCAATAATAATTTAAAAAAAATTAGGGGCAATTTATGGTATTTTGAAATTAACCTGCATGCATGCAGTTTGACTACTTTGGCCTCCCAGCCATTTGGTTCTTGTCCATTTTTTCCACCCTGTTATGAAAGTGAAATATACCTATACTGTATTACGAGAACATGACACATCCAGTGTTACTTTCAAACAGGTGCCACGCCTTGCTACCTCACACTTATCCTCTTTGAATCCATATCTACACATTCAATCAACTCTTGTGCATTACGTACGTCGCTATGCTACTTCAAAAGTCTCTCTCAATTTCATAAATATTGCAGAGCTGGGTGTAGCTACATAAGCTGCAAAACCACAAATGGAAATATTATTGCTTATATAAAAGAATTCATATAACTTTGTTTTGTTTTGTTTTTTTTTTTTTGCGATCATTCGGTTAAATTTCATTTTGCATGTATTAGGGTAAAGGGAGTATGATTTTCTCTCATTCTAATCTCTCTCCTCTTCCTTCCCATCCTATTTGAATAGTTACGATTAAGTCACATCTTATACTGATTTCTTTATAGAGAGAGAAAGACAAAAGATGAAAGTGTGAGAGGAGGGGAGGAAAATGGGGAGGATTACCCCCACCCCGGGGGGGGGGGGCGGTCCAGGGTAAAGAACTCATTCACATGCAAGATTTGACTCCATTTGGCAATGTATCAACCAGCCTTTGGATCTTGAACTCTCTATAAGTATTAAACAAAATGAGTCCATCTATCTCACCCAGAAATCAATAAAAAATGATTCCTTCAGAAATATCCATTCTAATCCTTGTATTCCTTACCTTCCTGTGGTCTCTCCTCCGCATCCTAATCAATGCCTTCTCAAGGCAAAGCCGAAAATTACCTCCTGGCCCTAGGGCACTGCCAATCATTGGCAATCTTCATATGCTAGGTGACCTCCCACATCGCAGCCTCCAAAACCTGGCAAAAAAATATGGACCCATAATGTCCATGCGTCTAGGGTTCATACCAACCATAGTGGTCTCATCTCCCCAAGCAGCAGAGCTATTCCTCAAAACCCACGACACCATTTTTGCTAGCCGCCCCAAACTCCAAGCATTCGAGTACATGTCCTATGGCACGAAGGCCATGGCCTTTACTGAATATGGCCCATATTGGCGCTATATTCGGAAGCTCTGCACACTCCAACTTCTTTGTCCCTCGAAAATCGAGGCTTCTGCTCCACTAAGAAGGGAGGAGGTAGGGTTGTTGGTGCAATCCTTGAAAGTAGCCGCGGAGACGGACGAGGTGGTGGATCTTAGTGAGAAGGTCGGTGAGCTTGTTGAGGGAATCACGTATAGGATGGTGTTGGGGAGAAAAAAAGATGATATGTTTGATCTCAAGGGGATTATTGACGAAGGCATGTTCTTGATAGGAGCTTTCAACATTAGTGATTATGTGCCTTTCCTTAGTCCATTTGATCTTCAGGTATGTTACCCTTCATTGTTAATTACCAAACTTGTTACATGAATCAGTAAAATTTATCTAAGAGACGGGCCAATGCCCACTTCTAACAGCACTAATATTGTCTTTAACTTATTAATTACTAAATGCTCAGTCCGACAAGTGTGGAGTTTTATTACAAAAGACCTTAGTACTAGTTGAAATAGAGTTAAAATATTTAAACTCTTTTTTTTTCTTTGTCCTTTGTCCAATGTCAAATATTTAAACATGCCCCCTCACGTAAGACTCAATTAGTGGGTCACACTTGAGGTAGGCGTAGCTACATGAGTACAAGTCAAAATATTATTGCTGATATAAAGGAATTCATGTAAATTTGATTTTTTTTTCTTTTTTGGTGATCATTCGATTAAATTTTGTTTTGCATGTAGTAGGGTAAAGGAAGTAGAATTTTATCGCCCCTTTATCTCTCTCCCTTTCTCTCCTCTCCAATTTGAACGGTTTACAATTAAACCATATCAACATCTTTTATTGACTTCTTTAGATAGAGAAGGACAAAGAAAAAAGTGTGAGAGAATGGGAGAAAAGGGGGGAGAATTAAGAGTGGAGAGAATCCTAATGGAGGTTAAAGAACTCGTTTTTCACATGCTAGCATTTGGTAATATATCAATCAGCTGTTGGATCTTGAACTCTCTATAAATATCACACAAAATGAGTCTACATGTGTATATATATATATATGTGTGTGTGTGTGTGTGTGTGTGTGTCTAATGTCCCATTTATCGATCTCACCTAGAAATCATATAAAATGAGTCCTCCAGAAATAGCCATTCTCATCCTTGTATTCCTTACATTCCTATGGTCTCTCCTTCGCCTAATCAATGCCTCCTCAAGGCAAAGCCAAAAACTGCCTCATGGCCCTACGGCACTGCCAATCATTGGCAATCTTCATATGCTAGGTGACCTCTCACACCGTAGCCTCCAAAACCTGGCAAAAAAAAAAAAAAATATGGACCTATAATGTCCATGCATCTAGGGTTCATACCAACCATAGTGGTCTCATCTCCCAAAACAGCAAAGTTATTCCTCAAAACCCACGACACCATTTTCGCTAACCGCCCCAAACTCCAAGCCTCCGATTACATGGCCTACGGCACGAAGGCCATGGCCTTTACTGAATATGGCCCATACTGGCGTCATATTCGGAAACTCTGCATGCTTCAACTTCTTTGTCCCTCGAAAATCAAGGGTTTTGCTCCGCTAAGAAAAGAGGAGGTAGGGTTGTTGGTGCAGTCCCTGAAGGTAGCTGCGGATGCAGGCGACGTGGTGGATTTTAGTGAGAAGGTCGGCGAGCTTGTTGAGGGAATCACGTATAGGATGGTGTTGGGGAGAAAAAATGATGATATGTTTGATCTCAAGGGGATTATTGAGGAAGCCTTATTCTTGACATGAGCTATCAAATTAGTGATTATGTGCCTTTCCTTAGTCCACTTGATCTTCAGGTATGTTACCCTTCATTCTTACCTACCAAACTTGTTAGATGAATCAATAATAAAACTAGGGAAATGCTAGGAACACCGTAAAGTAGGGACATTTAGAATCATTGCATGCACGCTTTTGCTAAGCACAAATACAAAGTAGAGGCGCTACAAATAAGTGCACGCACGTATGTGCGACTGATCTTAGCATTACTCCTCTAAAAATATTTGAACTCTATTATTTAGATGACGTATTTCAATGGATCCATCAACAGGAACATAAGCAGTGTCAACAAATAAAGTGAACGAGATTAATTCATAGTTTAGGGAAACCGAGCTCGTTTGGATGTGCTTTTAAAATGACTGAAAATGTTTTTAGTAAAATTATTTTTAGAAACAATCCTTAATAAAAATGCTAGCAAATCTTGGAAAAGCACTTAAAGTGCTTTCTGGAATAAGCAAATATAACTAGTGCTTCATGTAGAAAGCACTTCAAATATTGTTTTTGGAATCCGAAAACATTTTTTCTAAAAGCGTTTTCAGTCATTTTAAAAACATATCCAAACTCAGCCAGTAACTAGTTCACATTCATACAAATTAATCTGAGAGGAATATCTGTTTACATTAGCCATCTCACTTATCGTCTTTTTGTTGGTGATATGATTCACAAAGTCAAAAGCATCGACAAATTATAAATGCAAAATCATATGATTCATATCGTATGGTCCATTCCATAGCCTGCTGACGATAAACTATCTCTCCTAATTCGAGATGTAAAAACATATTTACATCTCATTTTATAGTTTCAAGAGGGTAGATGGAAGTTCTATGCTAATGAGAGTGATGTAAATTTGAGCTTTTATTTAATTTTCTCTCTTGGAGTAGCGGAGTCCACCATAAAAAAAAATATACATCCATATATATATATATAAGTTCTTATTTATATTTTCCAATCAATATTTACATCTTTCTGACCAACTTAAAGTATTAAATACAAATTGCTCCCTATCTTATGCATTTGGTTGCCAATGCCACCCGGGATATTATTACAATAGCAATGGATTTAATGCACAATTCATTATTTTAGGAACCTTAATTTCTGCAATCAACTATACAAATTTAAAATTTATTCAACAGGCTCTTTAAGGGAAGATCTCCATTAAAAAAAAAAAATAGTTGTAGGGCTCACTCCACATCAAACTTCAATAATAAGAATTGTCTATATTTTGTCTCTATTCATAAGTCATTCTTGCAAAAAATCAATTCAATCCGAAATCATTTGATCATTTGATTGTCACAATGAAATTTTAATGTTTCTTATAACATAATGTTCGTCAATGTCTTGGAGCTCAATTAGATTCATTGATGCCTCAAACATTTTGTATTTAGCTAATTTTGCAAGAATGATTTAAGACGTACAACTTGAAAATAGACAATTCGGATATCGTTAAAGTTCAATGTAGTATAGACTCTACAACTAATCTAAAAAAATGAGAATCCCTTCCCTTAGAACCATATGTTACATGTATGTGTTTTTTTTTTGGAGTAATTAGGTTTTCATCCTTATTTTTACTACTCTATTGATTAAAACCTTATTACTTTTCAATTTTTGATCAAGGTCCTTTGTATTAATAATATCATTAATTATTTCAATAATAAAATATTTTTTATTTCTAAATATATTCATTTAATATTAAAAATGTTACAATTAGTATATTTATACTTATGGCTAAATTTTTTATCATATATTTTTATTTTTAGTTTGTACCCATTTTTAATTTGCAACCCTTTTTTAATTTGTACCAATTTTCCTTTCAGTTTTAATTTGTACCCATATATTAAATTCTTTTTGTGCCCATATTTTTTAAAGTTTTATTTGTATTGTACCCATATTTTTTTATTTATTTGTACCCATTTTTATTTTTGCTAAATGTACCCATTTTGAAGAATGTACCCATGTTTTGATACAATAATTTTTTGGTTATTTTTATGAATGTACCCATGTTTACACACACGCACACACAATAGTATATTTATATTTTAATATTTTTAATCCCACAAATTATGGTTTTTTATTTAAAATCTCATTACTATAAACAACTATAAATTTTAATTTTTAATTTAAAAAATATAGTAACGTACATAGAAATAAATTATCAATTAATTTCAGGGACTTGGATCAAAAATTGAAAACCAATAAGGTTTCAGTCAAAGATTGTTCATAACTAGGGACCGCATCCAAAGTCTCCCTTTTTTTTTCTTATCCTTCATAAAGGATGTAAAACTAATAATAAGGATTTTATTTTACCATTGAAAATGAGGATTTTACAAAAATTCAAAGATAAAATGCTAGTAAATATGTAGATATAGATTTTGAGGCCTTACGTAGTGGGTAAAATTGAGTTTAAGTCCAGTTTTATAAGAATCAAACTCCTAGGATGGAAAATTTGCATTTTACATGAGTGACTCTGATTATTGAGTTTAATAATTACTAATGACTTTATTTCCAATATATGATCAATCATTTGACAGAGAAAAATAGAGATTAATACATAAAATAAGGAAAAAAAAGTCCAATAATATTATAGGAATCAAACTCAATGTACATGATTATATATAGGAATGAAACTAAACAAAACTAACGTTTCTCTCTGTAATTGTTACTTTCATCTCAGAAAAAAGGTTGCACATGATCCCTTATACCCATGTGAGGGTGTCACCGTATGTGCACATGATCCCTTATACCCATGTGAGAGTGTCACCGGCCGTATTTGCCTATCCTCACCCAAAAGTTACTCCAAAAATACAAGATGTAATAGCTTTTATATATGCATGCATGTCTTGTCCATTTCATTGTCTAATAAAAATGATAGCTACAGTACTCAACTAGAAGTACATATGATGGATTGATTGTATGGAATCTTACTATTTCTTCCACTTAGGGATTGACCAAGCGCATGAAGAGAGTTAGCAAGACTGCCGACCAAGTACTCGAAAAGATAATTCAGGATCATGAACAAGTTTCCGGAAGTGAACAAGGCAATCATCATAAGGACTTTGTAGACGTGCTGCTTTCATCAATCCACCAACCATTAAACCCCAACGATGAGGAAGTCTACATGCTCGAGCGAACAAATGCCAAAGCCATTTTACTCGACATGATTGCGGGTGCCCTTGACACCTCAGCCACGGCGATTGTCTGGACCCTGGCCGAACTCTTGAGGCACCCGAAAGTAATGAAACGTCTCCAAGAAGAGCTCCAGAGTGTGATCGGGATGGATCGAATGGTGGAAGAAAGTGATTTGCCAAAGCTGGATTACTTGGGCATGGTGGTCAAGGAGAGCTTAAGGCTACACCCAGTTGCCCCATTACTAGTCCCTCATCAATCCATGGAGGACATTACAGTTGATGGATATCACATACCCAAAAAATCAAGAGTCTTTATCAATATTTGGACCATTGGGAGGGATCCAAGTGTATGGTCAGATAATGTGGAAGAATTCTACCCTGAAAGGTTTATGAATAGTAACGTTGACCTACGTGGACATGACTTCCAGCTCATACCATTTGGGTCTGGTCGAAGACGGTGCCCTGCTATGCAATTAGGGTTAACCACAGTTCGTCTTGCTCTGGGAAACTTGTTGCACTGCTTCAACTGGGAGCTCCCTAGTGGAATGCTACCTAAAGACTTGGACATGACTGAGAAATTCCGCTTATCGTTGTCGAAAGCCAAACACTTGCTTGCCATGCCGACGTGCCGCCTGTACAATCGACCTTAATATCTATAGTACGTCTAGGCATAAATTGGATTAATGCAAATATCTTGTAGCTCAGTTGATTAAGAATATTATTCCTTGCCTTTGAGGTAGTTTGTTCGATTTCCCTCTTGTAAAAAATAATTTGCTTGTCATAATGCCCACCTATGTACCGCCTACACGGTCAACCTTCACAAAGGGTTGAAATAAATGTTTTGTAGTTATAATAGTGTTTCTTTGAGTAATGCTAGGGAGACTGTTAAATTTGTAGACTAAACTTACAAACTAAATAATATGTTACAAATAAGAAATGAACACGTTTATCAACAATTAAATGATAATCCAATTATCAACTTTCATGTCATTTAATTTACAAAATTTAATCTCCCTAGCATTACTCGTGTTCCTTTTATGCCACCTCTGACTAGGAAAGATTAAAGTAGTTACATCGTAAAAGTATTAACCATAATACGTTTTTCATTCTCTTAATTAATGTTTAAAATTATCTTACAAAAAGCTAATACAATTGGAGCTGGTTTAGATTAATATTTCAATAATTGCGCCCTTTTTACTTACATATCTAAGTTTATCACTTTATGTGTACTAGTTTGTTTTGTTTTTGGGTTTTGCACTTAGGTTTCATTCATTCGTTCATTATTTATTTCTTTCCTTCTTTCCTCATTCTTCTTTTTTTTTTCCCATTTATATTTTCTCCACATCTCAAACACAAAATGTAAAAACTAAAAATCAAATAGCCATCAGACGAATTCTTAAATTTTACTCTCTTAAAATATACTTTTTCTCTGGAACTCTCTCATGTAGCACTCATCTCGCTATTTTTTCTTCTTATAATACAATGATATGTTTACACCAAAGGAGACAATAAACCGGTATCAAACTTGTCATTCATAAGATTCGAATCTAAAACCACTCACTTACAAGTGAAGGGTATTAAGGGTACAAGTGTAATACGGTTAGAAATATAGTTAGTAATATAGTTAGTAAGGTTGTTAGTATTTGGTTAAAAGTAGTTAGGATTTATCTTATAAAAACAGTGTGTAATCTTCATTTTAGTCAGTTAATCCAAATCCTATTTCTCTCTCTAAACTATCTATGTCGCTCTCTAAGATCTCTGTGTTCATTCTTCTTCATCTTCCTTCTTAATTTTCCTTTCAATTCTCAAACATTGCAATGTAGTTAACATGGTATCAGAGCCACCAGGCTCACGCCATAGATTCTGGTGGTTCCACTTCCCATTATTTTTCATATGTTTCTAGCTTAGTTCTTTCCAAATTTTCATTAGATGTTTGAATAAATTTCTGGGTGCTTCCGCGATCGTTGTTTTACTTATGGGTTGATTTTTCTGGATTGTGATTAGAGATTTCTCTACTGAACGTGATTGATTTTCACCGATCTTTACTTCTCATCGATTTTGGGGATTGAATTTCTTGTTCTGATGCAGAGTCGGCAAGTAAGTACCCTGAGTCATGTTCACAAGGTGTTCGAAGGAAGACCTGAGAGAAGAAGTGTGGTACCCGAATTTGTTTCTTGACGAACCGATTTCAATTCACGATGTTCTTGGCCCGTCCTCTGCTTTGGTTCCGAGCGATGTTAATCAGGGTTGGGATATTATCTTATCGCCGGCCTGCGATTCCAATTCCAACATGGTTTTTGATGTTTCTGATGCCAAGAACATGGTCGATTGGTCCCGGATCATCCTATTGCTGGGCTCGAAAGGGTTCGTTTCTTTCGTTGTCGGGCTGAACCCTATTCTTGATCGTTGTTCAGGCATTTCTTGTGCTGCAATGGCTTCTTGGGCTTGCAGGGCACCGTATAAGGCTGCAGGTTCTTGAAAGCTTGTGAATTGTGGGAGATTATAAGGGTTTGAAGTCTGTGACAATGGATACGCTTCAAGCTCCAAGCTTGGTGGAAGAAAGATTGTGAGATTCCATATTCTGCCTTAGATTGATGAGAGACTTCTGGTTTTCTCTCTCAGCATTCTTGGGTCAAGATTGAAGTTCTTATCAGGTTCTTGATTTCTGGGTTTTCACAGTGCACATAATCTGTTTGATTAAATGTTTCAGTAAGAAAATGTTCACTATTTTGTTCATCTTTGTTGTGAATCTCTTCTGGGATATTAGTGTAATATTTGGGATATTTAGATTCAAGAATATTGATCGTCGTGGTTAGTTTGAGTTTTCTTTGGGTATTCAATAAGGTGAATTGTAGTGATTTGTGGCTTGGTGCGATGGGTTTTGAAGATGGGTTATGTTTGCAGCTTATTTTATGTATCAAGTATCTTAGGTTTTGAAGATGAGTTTGTTAGCATTGTTTCCGGTTTTTGTGAGTGGATGATGTTGTTGCCTGTGTAGAGGATGAAAGTACTGGCTATATATTACCAAACAAATGGATCTGAACCCCTGTTACCTGGTCAGTTTGTCAGCAATTTGACTGATGGTGATGTATCTGTAGTTTCACCCAATCTTAGCAGTATAAAATGGAGTATAAGAGGATTGCATTTAGTGCCTCTGAACTTGTAAGAAATGGACAAGGAAACTCTCTTGAAACTGGCAGTCTCATTTCAGTGAATCTTGGCAGATCAGTGTGCCAGGGCAAAGCAGCGAAGCAAGCAGCAATGCCTGTTTATTAGATTCAGCAAAGGTTACTGGAGTGAGTGTTCAGGTGCTAACTGAGGAGTTGTGCAGTATATTTCTTATCACAGCCTGTAATTTCAGAGTCTAACCAACTCAGTTGTTAGCATGAATCTACAGTAAGTCCGGTTATACAATAAAGTTTGAAGAAGTTGTAAACGGTAAATCCCATGAAGGGTAATTCCATGATATGAATATGTAAATCCCACAAAGGGTAGAAGAAGTTAACGGTAAATCCCACGAAGGGTAATCCCGTGTTTTGAGTAGGTAAATCCCACGAAGGGTAATCCTACATAGATGTTGATTTTCAATTGTTGAAATTGTGAAGGCCGATGCCATTGTTCAAAGAAGTTGTTTTTTGGTAAAATCCATAAAGGGCGATCCCGTGGTTCTATAGTTAAGGCCAATACCACACTATAGTTTGTTAATTTTCTGTTTTTGTAAATATTAAAGGCCTAAGCCAAGTTGAATGAGATTGTTGACGGTGAATCCCACGAAGGGTAATCCCGTAAGAAGTTGTTATACCGGCATGAGGGTGTGCTATAACTACTTTATAGAAGGTTGTTCTTGTGTAAAACTCCTGATAGAGGCAGAGGAATACAGGGTGTCTTTATTTGTAAGGCAATGGAAGAAATTTGGACTGACAAACAGAGGTTTTTGGTCAACAGCTACAAAGAGGTCATGGGGTACACTTGTTTGATTCAGGGCTCTGGGAAAGCTATAAGCTTTGGTGATATGATTTGAGTATATGCGCTTACTCTCTGTCGTATGGCCGTACATCTGCTTCAAGTTGTAAGAGATTCATTTGGAAATAAACCAATGGATGAATCTTATGCCAAGTCTTTTGAGCATGCTTATCAAATGCTAACCGAACTACATGCACAATTAGTTCTATCCCTTTTATCCAATAATCCAGTTTTGCATAATTGTTTTGTAGTGGAGATGGTTGTTTGGCTCGTTTTCTGCATGGCTTGCTGTTGAAGTGTTTTTGAAGTTAGTATTCACTGTGATGATGTTTGAATAGTTGCCTTCTATCAGATAGTGTTAGAGAATCTATCTGTTGATCAATGGAAGAAAGATCGTTATTTCAAAAACCTGTGTGAGAGCAGGTCTAGTTTTTCCAGCAGAGTGAAGGATAATCAGGTCTTGTCTTTCTTGTTTGCAGCAGGCTAATCCAAAGTGTTGACTCTAGTTAAAGTGCTACATGTGGACAGATGTTTGGGTATCAATCCAATGGTGGTTTTCCTAAATCTACAGTTTCAGTGCTACCATGTCTCAATTCTTCCAATCTCAAACTGAGTTTCCCCAGTTGAGATTGAGGGGAAGTATTAAGGGTACAAGTGTAATACAGTTAGAAATATAGTTAGTAAGGTTGTTAGTATTTGGTTAAAAGTAGTTAGGATTTATCTTATAAAAACAGTGTGTAATCTTCATTTTAGTCAGTTAATCCAAATCATATTTCTCTCTCTAAACTATCTATGTTGCTCTCTAAGATCTCTGTGTTCATTCTTCTTCATCTTCCTTCTTAATTTTCCTTTCAATTCTCAAACATTGCAATGTAGTTAATAAAGGGTAGTAAAGGAGAATATTGTGGTAGCAAAAATATGTCGTTTTCTGCCTAGACGAATTTTTACCTACAAAACAAATAAACACATGTGATCAAAGACAAAGCCCCGCGCCCAAAGAGTGAAGGTGGGGGGTGTTTGGCCAATGAATCTTCAATGTCTAAGTCAGTTTCTCTGAAAAGAGAGAGGTTTAGGGCTTAATTGTGTAGCAAAAGTTTACTAAAATTTGGTGGAGAATGGGGTATTTATAGGAGCTAGGGTCACCATGGAGGAGAGAGATCTCGTGCTATGTATCGTCATCCAGTTGGCTAAGGTGTGTCATTCGTTGGATGGAGTAGGTAAAGAATTATCCCAATGATATTATTGAATAAATAATATCTTAGAATTATCTTGTGGGTCCCTGATTGGATTTGATGAAAATTTCTTGCTTGATTATGTATTGTAGTCAAATCTCATATTTGCACTCGAATATATCAATGTTACGCAAGTGCAATTAAGATATTTGCCCTAGTTTCATATAATCTGTTAGGCACTGATAGGAACATATTTATGCGACTTAGTTAGCTTGTTCTTGTGCATTTGTGTTGTTATTTCTTAGTTAATTATGTATTTTAAGCTATTTTCGTGTGTTTGTAGGTCATAATAGCAAAGTTGGCAAGAAAGTGCATTTTGGAGCATTTTAGAGCATTTTTGAGCCAAGATTGGATAGTGCAAGCATGGAGACATGAGGATGGACGTTTGTGAAGATTTGAAGGCTAGAAATTAGCATGTGTGTGTGCAAGTGTGTTGACCTACAACTCCAAACATCCATCCACTACACCCATTACATCCACTCATTACCAAACATCCACCCACTACACCCATTACATCCACTCATTACCACAACACTCACCCACTACACCCATTACATCCACTCATTACCAAACACTCACCCACTACCCATTACATCCACTCATTACCAAACACTCACCCACTACACCCAATACATCCACTCATTACCAAACACTCATCCACTA